AGCAGCGGGCGGGTCAGGAGAGGTCTGCCACGCCATGTGGTCACCTCCGGGGCAGGCGGGAATCGAACTCATGAGGAAGCGGCTTTAGATTCTCAGTGCTGTGCTTTAACCCGCTGCGCCACCAGGGAGGGCCAGCCTTTTCATTCTTGTTATGATCAATTTTACAAAGCACACTTCATTTTATTCACTTCACCATGGGCTAAGAAATGTTTAAATACAGATAAAGAGGTTATACCTGCAGTTTCTAATTTCATTTCACATCCTGAGAGCAAGCTAGAGGATGCCATTTTATATATAGCAAAACCTCTCTAAACAACAGTGTATACTCTGCCTCCAGTTTCTGGCTCTCCCTTCAGCTGGGATTGACTTCTACCCCTAATGCATTTTCACTTTTTGGTAGCAGCTCTTACCAGGTTCACTAAATGATCCCCTCATTTTCAAATTGTGGCCACCCGTGATGTCAGCCCTTATTCAATATTTCTATTTACTTGATTCGGTTATTTCGTTTTGAAAATCATTTTCCCTCTTGATTTCTGTAACATTCCTGGTTTTCTCCCTACATTTCAGGTGGTTCCTTCTTAATATGACCTTCCTTCCTCATCCTATAATTGTAGTCTTAAGCCCCGAGAGTTCAGCTGAGTGTCATCTTGATACTTTCCTTCGCCCCGCCCATGCCCTGGATCACACTTCAGTTCCCACCTGTTGTCTCTAAACCAGCTCTGTTCTCATTGCCTGCCTTTTTTTTTTTTTTTTTAAACATCTGGAGTTCTTAAAGACACCTCAAATTGAACAATCCAAATTAATATGTATTCTTATATTGCCTATCTTAGTTAATGGTACCACCGTCTATCCAGGGCCAAGAAAGAAACACAGTTCCTATCAGATGCACCATTTGGCTGGATGTTCCTATCTGTTGAATTCTTCTGCATGTTTGTCCATACTTATTTCTAGATTATTATAGCGGTCTCTGCCCTGAATCTCACCCTTTGCCAATACATTTTCAGAGGGATTCCTCAAAAAAGTCATTCTAATAATATCTTAAACTTGAAAACCTGTTTCTCCATAATCACCACCTGCTAATCCCCACCTACATGATTCATGCATGCAGAATCATGCCAGCCCCTCAGATGCTCGTTCCCAGACTTTGCCTCTGCTTAGTGCCTTAAGACTACTACTTCACTTTAGGGTGTTTTTCACACTCTCAGACTATCCTGTGAGGGGATACCCTCATCAGTGACAGTGCCTCCTCCTGTTGCCTCCCCACTTTGCTTTTCCTTCTCCCCCCAGGACTATGAGTTCCTTGAAAGAATAAACAGAAATGGAAAACTCATCACCCATTTGTGTCTTTTCATTAGCATGTTTATACTTGATTATAATTGGTACTTATGTGTAATTTTTTCCCTGATATATTCTTCACTTTAAATCAAGTTTTCTCGTTGTTGCTACATAGTACCCAAAAGAGTTTCTAATGATTATGCACTTGTAAAGATTGATACAATCATTTTCTTGCATGTAGTTCTCCAAATATTTTGAACATTTCCCACATTTTGTAGTATCTCTTTAGAACAAATTTAAAGATAACACAGCATCTAAGTCCTGGAAGTCTCTTTTGTTCACTCTCTGCTTTTGCATATAGCCTTCTTTTTGTTTCCATAGAAAACCAGCCCATGGTAGCAGGGAGAAAGCTTTGATTTATTCAGCATATACTTTTCTATTTCCCATTCCATTGTATACTAGAATCACATCATTAAAGATGTCATAGACTCAGGTTTCTACCACCCAGTGAGATTTCATTGTGCATCCAGCTTTGCTTCAGATAGCTGTGCTTTGAACCAGAACACCTGAAGGAAGAGAACTATTTCCTGTGCTGATTGTTGTTAATTATATCAATATTGCATTTCAGGATGATTGTCTCAGGTCATTAACAAGATTTGCTGCAGCACATTGGACAGTGGCATCACTTTCAGTGGTACAAGAACACTTTAGTAAACTTTTTGCATGTGAGTATTTATCTAAGAACCATATGTGTTATGATAACTTTCATCTTCTGTAATTTGTTTTTAGTGGTATAATTTCTCTACATTATTAAAGAAATATTTTGGTACTGCTTTTCTTATGTACAAGTTCTAGCTTTTAAGTTCATATATATCTTGCTAAAAGAGAAATTTTATAATAGATACATTGGCATACGACGTGTGCTAATACAGTTTTCTTTAATTACCTAGCTGTGGTGCCTGATGACAGCCACGGAGACCTTCCATGCATACTGGATATTGACATGTTTCATTTATTGGTGAGTACTTGTAATTTGTGTTGGGAATTCCCTTTGTCGTACTATATACTTCACCTAAGACTTAGGTGAGTACTATAGAGGTAGACAGGAGGAGTTATCTGCTGTTCCTCTCACCATTTCTAAGTATAGTTGTTTCTGAAGGAGCCCCAGAAAAGAAATCTAAGGAATCTAGTTAGGAGGCTAAATGTAGGGGTTAAATCCTCTTTTATTTTACTTTGAGGTTGTTAATTGAACCTCGGTATGCTTCTTTACATACAAAAAATGTAAACGTAAAACAGGGATGCTGCTGACCTCGCTAGCTTTTGGGTAGATGTAGTCCTCTGGCCACTTGCTTCACATCAGACCACCCGTTAGTGTGACCTCGGGGAAGCTGTCTTCTCAGTGGGTGCAGCCAGTGGCCACAGCACAAGCTGACCAGGCAGTGAGAGGTTAGACTCAGCCCCTCCTCAGCTGGGTGCACTGCCAACACAGCAGCCCCCGTGCTGGCCACTTCATCTCTCTGGGCATCAGATTCGCTACCTTTAAGTTGGTACGTACCTGAGATGATTCTGTCAGTTCTCAGTGGAATGATCATGAAAATCACTTGGAACAGTAATCCCCAAGTAAATATTAGTTCCTTGCTTCCACAAAAACCACCACCACTAATAACAGCCATCCGTATAGCAGGAGGCTAACAAAAGAGCTGGCATTTATTGTGCACCTGAGTGCTTTCACATATATTTTCATTTAGTCCTTACCTTTTTATTACCAAGGTATTAAGGACACATACACATACATTCTAGTTTACCATTAGGGAAACTGGAGCTGGAGTAAAAGTAAAACTAGCAATATATGGGTTGTATCTACTAAAAAACAAAAACTGAAGGTTGAAGAATTTGAGATTACTGTGTATACATATAGTTAGTTAAAACTGTGGGCCTCCCTGGTAGCACAGGAGTTAAAGTCTCAGTGTTATCAAGCTGCGGCCAACCACTGTGGCCTGAGTTCAATCCCTGGGCAGGGTGGTGGCCCACATGGCACAGCAGAACTCTCCTGTCTTGTCCGCTGCTCCCCTCAGTAGTGTATTTCAGTAGGTCTTCCTGTTCTGCTCCCCACTCTGTCTCTGGTGAATTGTCTCACTTCCTGAACCTCTGGTCTACACCCCACTTCTTTTATGCATAATAAATAAAAAGAAATCTTAAAACTGTGTCGTAAGCTCTTGGTTAAGTCAGGCATATCCCGTTTCTGTCATCTTCATCTTGATGGTTTTAAGATTCCCTCTTTTATACACTGCATGTACTTTGATATACTGTGTATATGTCATCCATTTACTTCACTTTTCCACACTGGCTGTAGCTGTGCTACTATCAATGTAACATTTGAAGTTTAAAAATCTTTGTTTATAAATTGTCTAAAGAGCTCATAAAAGGTGCTAGAATTAATATATAGGTTTTTGTGGGTCCAAAACCCATATTCTTCCCACTGCATACTCCCCGTAAAGATTGCAGGTATTTTTGTATTCACAGCGTGCTTTGTTTAGGGGAGTAGCGAGGGAATGAACTGATAGTGCCCATCAAGACCCCTCTAGTTTTCCCCCGCTCCCTTTGGCATAAAAGAACTGGTAGGACAGAGGTACTGGGGTGAGAGGGTTCACCAGAGACAGAGCGGGGGAGCAGAACAGGCAGATTGACTGAAATACACTGCTGAGAGGAGCGGCCTCTGGGCCGGGGATCCAAGGCCGTCACCATGGGCCTTGGTGTTGGTAGTGAGACTTAGCCCACAAGCCACAGGGAGATTTTGGGTACTAGCTCTTTAAGTAATTTCATTTAGCCAGTCCTCGTGGAATTTATAATAAATCCGCCCTTTAAGAATAAGGATGGGGCGCCAGATTAAACACGAGCTGTGCTTAGCTTGAAAGAGAGGTCCTTCGTCTGATGCCCTGTGCTTGCTGTCTAGGTGGGCTTGGTGCTGGCGTTCCCTGCGCTGCAGTGTCAGGACTTCTCGGGGATCAGCCTCCGTGCCGGAGACCTTCACATTTTCCATCTGGTTACTATGGCACACATAGTGCAGGTCTTGCTTACATCGTGTACAGGTAACACCTCCTTGGCGGCTTCTTGAAGGAAGTGCTTGAGTTTCTCGTTGAAAAAAAAGGGCTAGAGGGAAAGATGCTTGGATGAGAAAAAATGTAAATTAAAAACAGGCAATTTCTCTGTTCATTCTCATATGAAAAGTCTTAAAGTAACTTCGTTTCTCCTATTAAAATTCCTTAGCCACATGACCAGTTTTACTTTCCCCCCTCCCCATAAGTTTGCTAAGATTTGAGGTTCATAGTCTATATCTAGCTGATTTTATACAGAGCACACTGGACAGCATCCTAAAGCACATTGGCCTCTCTGATAGAGCCTCCTGGCTCCTTGCTCTGGTGGATGATATGCTCTGCCCATACCTGAGGAACTGAAGATCTGTGTCTTTTTTTGTCTTTTGTGGGAGTATTGGCATTTGAGAGTGTGTGAATATATTTTACATCATATTTAAATGATGTGGTTATTGGTCCACTTAGTACGTAGACACAGAGTGCTAATCTTTCCTTATTTTCCAGAAGAGAATGGCATGGATCAAGAAAATTTTGTTGGTGAAGAAGAACTAGCAGTTCTTGCTTTGTATAAAACACTTCACCAGTATACAGGAAGGTGAGCTTGTATGGAATTCATTTGTTATATGAAGGAAGTTGCTCTCTGTTGACATATTTATAAAGAAGTTGGAGGATTTTTCTTTTAATGTACTTGTTTATTTTCTTACATCGTTGGTCCTCTTTCTGTAGTTACTGTTCCCCTGAGGTGCAGCCCTCCCATCAGTAATCCACTTGTGTCCCACCACCCAGCTCCCCGTCTTTTGCTTCCCTCCTCCAGTCACCCCCATCCTCCCCTGCTGCAAGATGTGGATCCAAGCTCGGCCCCAGGCCTTGTCCCGGAAGCTCGTCCTTTTCCTGGGCAAGGCCCAGGGCTCCTGGACCGCAGCAGGCTAGGCTGCTGTAAGGATCATTACTCTTTTAATAACAGTGCTAGAACTCTCTGAGGAGGAGTAATGCAGAGCTTGTGTTAATTTGGCCATGGAACCCTCTTTTGCTCAGAGGATCTGACTCAGACTAGTGGAAGTAGAGCACTTACCTTAGAAAATGCTATTTTGAAACACATCTCATTGGGAATTTAAAACGTAAGTTAAATCGGTACAATACACTTTTAAGTGAAGTGCAGTGAAATTAATAGAACGTCACATACTGTTTCATTGATTTAGTACAATTTCACTTTGCTTTTTTAATAGTATATATCAAGAAGCTGTAAAAATGTTTGCTCTTTGACTAAGGTACCCAATTTCAGAGACTCCATACTGATAAAATAATACAACATACAGAAAACCTATAGGCATGACCTAAATGCTTGGTTTAACAAAGAACTGAAAGTAATCTGTTTGCAGGAGAATTTGGTGTCATTTATGGGTGATATATCCCGGAATACTCCAGTTCCAATAAAAATCACTGTTTGTGATGTTCTGAAAAACATGATAATAATATATAATTTCGTGTTACAGCTACAGTTACATAAGACAGATTAATATGAAAACAGCTTACCAGAATAGTTTTCTGCTGATTCAAGGTTCTAGAGTAGTGGATAGTGTTTTTTGTTTGTTTTCCAAGTGCTTTCCTTCTGTAGCACTAGTTTTTCTTTATGTAGACAAGAGCTGAGAGGAGGGGTGGGGAAGATTCACCAAAGACAGACTGGGTTACAGGACAGGAAGACTGAAATGCAGGGAGCAGTGGGGGATACAGGAGAGGTCCGCTGTGCCATGGGGGTCAGCTCCCTGGCTGGGGTTCAGATGTATTGCAGTGGCTACAGGTAGCTTCCTAGTGCTGAGACTGAATCTCTTGTGCCACCAGGGAGGCTCTATAGCACATTTTTATAAATCTTGTTAATAGCATTGAAGGCTCCCATCATTTATACCTAATATAATGTAATAGCACAGTACACTCTTTTTTAAGCCCATGTACCACCGATTCCAACTAACAGTTGTCTCCCATTCACACTGTGATAACTAGAACCACCTTACCTTACTAGAGCTCCCAGTTATCATTCCTCTCTTTTTCAGTGCCTTGAAAGATAGCCCATCCGGCTGGCATCTGTGGAGGGATGTCAGAGCGGGCATCATGCCTTTCCTGAAGTGTTCTGCTTTGTTTTTTCATTACTTAAATGGCGTTCCTTCCCCACCAGAAGTTCAAGGTAATTTCTAATTTCTTTCAAAATTTAGAAAATCTATAATCTTTCATTCCAGTAATGGAGAATAAATGTGACCTGCATAACTTGAAATATGTGACCTTACAGTTCAGAATAACCAGAATTGCATATAAATCTGATTTTAATGTGGGAATTGATTTGCTGTCTCACAGTTGTTTTCTATGTTCTGTTTTGATTTCATTTCATAGTAGATATAAAGGCAGGCTTCAAGTTTACTCAGTGCCCGGCACCAGGCCTGGGAGTAGCCTGTGTGATGATGCTGCATGGCAGGTTCTGTGATCTAGGCACCATCAAGAAAAGCTTAGCCTTCCAGGTTATTTGCAGTGATAATTAACATTAGTGTTTTAAATCCACCTTGTGATAAAATGGTCTTGAATTTTTCTACTGCTTTATAACATTCCAGAACACCCAGAAGTTATTTTTGTCACTAAGTCAACAAAGAAACCCATGAGGTGGATCATATCAGGTCTACATTGTTTTGCAGATGGTAAAACAAGACTCAGGAAATTGGGTCCAGTTGAGGGTTGGGGCTCCTGGCTACATGCTCAGTTGTGCCATTTCCTGTGGATGGCCCCCTTGTGCCAACTTGCTAACTTCCTACAAGTTATGAACCTAGAAAATAAAAACTTCCTTACCATGCTTTTTCCTTTTTTAAGCTCTACTATTGCTTAGTCCCAGAGAAGATTTACTCTCAGTTATGTTTTACACTTTTCTAATCCATTTGCAGTTTCTGGATCAAGCCATTTTGAACATCTATGTAAATATCTTTCCCTGCCAAACAACCTCCTTTGCCTTTTTCAAGAAAATAGTGAGATAATGAATTCATTGATTAAAAGGTAATTATTATCACTTTTTTCATTACAATGAATAGTTTTATGGACCAAACTTTATCAATATATCTTAACAAAATTATCAGATAATGAACCCAGCAGAATTCAATGTTTATAATTCAAACTGTGATGATTATGCTGAGCAGTTAAAGATTTACCTTTTTGGTAAGATTTCTGCCAAATTAGTGAATAGCATTAGCAGATTTGTATGGAAGGCAAATAGTGGCAGAAATGTTTATTTCCTCATATTAATTTCTTAAGGTCTTTGTAGATTTCTGGTAGAAATCTAGATTAAGGGTTATCTAATCCATTACTCTCACTTTATATATGAGAAAACTGAAGTCTAGAGAAGTGAACCTGTTGATAATGTCAAGTTTAGTGACAGGTTTAAGATTAAAATATGACTTTTTCCACAGAGTGGGTGAAAATATTTGCACATCACATAGTGATAAGAAATTGAGACCTAGAGTGCATGTGTGCGTGTGTGTTCAGAATTCCTATTAACTCAACAATAGCAAAAGTCTGTGTGAAAGACTTCAGAGAAGACCTATAAGTGACCAATAAGCACATAAAAATATGCTTAGTATCACTAGTCATTAGGGAAATGCAAATAAAAAAACATAATGTGACCACTTCACAGCCATGCATATGGTTATAACCAAAAAGACCGACAACAGTAACAAGTGTTAGTGAAGAAGTTGAGAAATTAGAGTCTGTGTACATTGCTGCCACTCTGGAAAAGTGTGTGGTGGTTTCTCAAAAGTTAAACATAGAATTACCAAGTACCAATACCTATCTACATGTAGGTATGTATTGCAGAAGAACTGAAAGCAAGGACTCAAACGGGTACTTATACACACATGTTCACAGTAACCAAAAGGTAAAAACAATCCAAATACCTACTGACAGATGAATGGGATAAACAGAATGTGGGGTGTGCATCCAGTGGAATCCTATTTGGCTTAAAAAAAAAAAAGGAGACGTTGACATATGCTATGGTGTGATTAGACCTTAAAAGACAATATACCAAGTGAAATAAGCTAGTCACAAAAGAGCAAGTACTGTATTCTTCTGCATAATCATATAGAATGTTAAGGGAGGAAAATTGGATTAGTGTTGAAAAGTTCTAGAAAGGGATGGTAGGCTGATTGCACTAAAATGGGAATATACTTAATAACCATGGTACTGTCTATTAAATATGGTTAAAATGGCAATTTTATGTATACTTTACCACAATTTAAAGGTTTTTTTTTTTTTTTTTTTTTTGGTGAGTCTTATAGCTAATAGGAACTTGTCATTAAGTCAGACTGGTGTTTCCAAAGTGTACAAATTAGTGGAAAAAATTATATGCAGCCACAAATTTTAATACATTAGGCATTATTGCTTTTAGAAAATCGTAAGTTTTATTCTTCTGGTTTTAACAGTTGTAGGTGAATTATATTCTTCTTCTCTTGAGGTAAACATACCATGCTAAGTCAAGGATTTTTTTTTTTTTTAAACTGGATTTGGAGGGTGGAAATTCTAGTTCTTACCCTTTTAAAGTAAAAATGTTTTGTTTTGTTTCCCCCCCAACTTATATTAAAGTTGGTGTCAAAACATTGGAGTTAAAAGATACCTACAAGGTGAAAGAGATGCTATAAGGTAAGTCAAGGATGATGGAACACTTGGTGGGTGGCTTGTCGGAGGAAGTACGTTCTAAGTGCTACTGCCCGTCCCTAACTGGCCTCCTGAGGCTGGTCATGCTACCGATTCTTGGCTGAATAGTTATGATATTTTAGAATATGTACATTGAAACAGTTGGGTCCTTTTCTAGGTTTTCCTTGGCTCTATTTTTGTCTTTTCGTTGTTATTTCAAGCTATCCAGTAGAATTTAAAAAAATAGTATACTAAGGCTTCAGATACCTTTCACTCAGCTTAAGAAAATATTAAATCATAGCCAATCATTTTTGTATTTTTTTCTTCATTCCTTTTGAAATTAGCTCTGTCCTGATTCCTTAGTAAAGTGTGCTGTGACATGCCTTCCACCATGACAGGTGGATTTCATCTGCTGAATGAACCTTCTTAGTTCTGCTGAATGCAACATCCATAAAAATCAACAGATTCTCTGTTCTATTTCTTTGATTTTATACACATTCTGTTCAAATCTAGAGGTGCTTCACACCCCAATTTTAAAAGTCAAATGATTGCATTATCACCAGTTTCTTTTTATTCAGCAGTATATTCAGTAGCTCTTAACTTGAGTGTATCAGAGTAAGTTTGGAAATTGAAAGACTCCTCAGTACCATACCTAAAAAGTTTAATTCTTCCTAGCACTCAAGTATATCCCTCCCAAAATCCCTCCAAGTGATTCTGGTGAGAGCTGCTGTTTAGGTTAACTCCCCCTTGTCTTCTGTCCATTCTACTGTCTGCAATAGATACATAGGAAAAGGCCGCACCGTGGGCTCGTGCTGGACAGGTGTGAATGAACACTGAGAGAGGTCCTCAAACATTAGTTGGATTTAGGACTGAATCAAACATGAATTAACTTGTCACAGAATCGACGTGGCCTTCTAGCAGAATCTAATTTAAAAGAAATCTCCTGCCTTCTCCATTCTGATTCCTTTCTGCCTTGAGACCACCTGTCCAGAGGAAGCCCAAGAATGAATATTCCCTTCTGCCTCTTCCTTTCTTCCCAGAGCTGTCACATTTTCTCTTAAATAGGGTAGATACTAGTAATCTAGATACTAGAAAGTAGTAATGTCTCCTTTCCTGAGAATTTATTCTGAGCTCTAAGTAAAAACATGTATGAACCCAAAGGTCATGTGTTGAAAATTGAGTCTTTCTTCAACCAAATTAAGAGTAACCTTGTTTTGGCTACAGTATGATTTTATATTAACTCGGTTGTTTTTGTTTGTTCTAGCTATCCAAGAGAATCTAACAAATTAATAAACCTTCCAAAGGATTACAGCAGCCTCATTAATCAAGCATCTAATTTCTCGTAAGTTTTGATCTTAGAGTATTGAGTCTTTCCTACCACCGGAAACACCTTTCCACACAGGGTGTGGGGGATTTTGTTGAAGTTCTGTGAGGTTTGGATAGGGAAATCATACCATCAGTAGTGCTTTGTGTCATCCAACTTATAAAAGCATCATTCCACCATTTTCAGAATAAGATGCAGGAAAGGGGGTGATGGAGGACAAGGATGTATAGGAGGCTGTCTGAATAAAAATGTGCACTTAAATAAGAGGCCAGAGTTCATTTTAACACAAGAAATATTTGATACAAACAAGATAAAGACAGGACTGAAGCCGTAATGTAAGCGCTGACATTCCTCAGACTCTGGCCGCCGCGGGCGAGGCCCGTGCGTGCACTGTCTCTGCTTCATCCGCATTTACTGCTTTCATTGTGTGACAGCATGATTTGCTTTAGCATTTCCTCCTGTTGATGACTTTCTTTTCTCTCTGGTTGGTAACTTGAGAGTCTGCAGTAGAAGATTTGTGTGAGATGTCCCCTGCACCCTATTCTAGAAATAAATTTGGGCCGTGGGATATATGTGCCTCTTCAGCTGTACTTGTTGCAGTGTTTCTCTGGTGCTTTCTTACCATCAGCTCTTTAACTGCTTTTTGGAGTAATGACCTGTGCTTTTTTTGTTCCGTGGAGGTGCCCCAAATCAGGTGGTGATAAGAGCAGAGCCCCAACTCTGTGCCTTGTGTGTGGAACTCTGTTGTGCTCCCAGAGCTACTGCTGTCAGACTGAACTGGAAGGCGAGGACGTTGGGGCCTGCACCGCTCACACCTACTCCTGCGGCTCCGGAGTGGGCATCTTCCTGAGGTGAGGTGCTATGGGGGTTGTTGTAGCTTTGGATCTGGGGAGTTTATGCCTGTTGGGGGGGAGCGAGTGGCTCAGAATATTGAGGCCACTGTTCTCGTGTATTTCGTTCACTTGAGAAACTTGAGGAGCCTGTCTCATTTGGTTCCTGCCAACTCCATGTCAGTTCTCTCATTATCTTTCCCTCTACCCACCCCCAGGATAATTCTTTTATACTTTGTGTCTATTCTAATATGAAACTTCCATTTGTCCTCAATTTCCAGTTAGAATTACTCTCCTTTTTGTATACTAAGGCTTTTGGATTCATACACATTACCAGCTGATGTATATCGTTGAATATATTCTACAGCATACACCAGACACTTCTTTAGTGGCCACTATGTCCTGGACATTGAGAATGCCACAGTCACCAGCACAGAGAAAGATATCAGCTGCCAAAAGAGCTCCTTTTCTAGTAAGGGAGATAGAAAATAAACAAGATTGAATAAGAATCTAGAAAGAGATACATACAAAGGAGAAAAGGTAACGTAGGGAGGGGGATATGAAACGGTATTTGGAGAGTTGAGCTGTAGCTAGGGAATTAGAGAAGATTCTTTGAGGTGACTTTTGAGTGAGAAAAATCTAAATTAGGGCAGAAAACATTCTAGTGCAAAATCTCTGAGGGGAATGCCTGCCATGATCGAGAAATGGCACAAAGGTGGGCTTCACTGGAGTAGTGTGAGCAAGGGGGAGAGCTGTGGGGCCTAACATGTTCTGGTGACACCTCTGAGGCCAAGGCCATATCAGGGCTTAAAGAAGATCCAGATTCTGTCTGTATCCTAGTAATCTTAGTGTCTTCCTAGTGCCTGACAGCATGATAAATTCTTCATAAAGTTGGAGCTGAATTATTAATACCAAGTAAAGTTAAGCACACCACTCAGAGAGACCATGAGACACATCTTAAAATAGGCCTCAGGAGAAATGTAAAAGTAATATTTTGCCTCCTCTGGCATATCTCAAAAACCTTTTGATCATGGACAGTGTTATTTTGTGCTTTGAGTCAGTCTAATTCATGTTTGTGTCCTTTTTTTAATGAGCCATTTTCTCATAACTTGGTTAAAACATCAGTACCTATTTTGTGTTTAGACTCTCACACCTAACTTTCTGAACGCTACCGTAATAGTGCCGTCACTTCCTGACCTGAGTGTTCCCCTCCCTCACCATGTGCATGGACATATAATCATCACTGATTGCAGTGCAATCATTTTGCTTATTTTTAAAACTTGGCAAGGTGTATTGTTAGCTTTTTAAATGTCTCTGCTGTAAATGCCATTTCTTCTCTTCCAAAACTGGTTTTGTCGATATATAAGCTTTCTGTCCATTTGGAACTAAATCCAAACCCTGGTCACTAATGTCTGCTCTATAAATGGTCTCTCTACAGAGTACGGGAATGTCAGGTGCTATTTCTAGCTGGCAAAACCAAAGGCTGTTTTTATTCTCCTCCTTACCTTGATGACTATGGGGAAACTGACCAGGGACTCAGGTAAGGGCCCATCTTGGGGTTTGGGCTGGCTGACTCTGGGCCTCCAGAGCTTTCCCTGTGTGGTGGCCTTGATGGGTCCTGTGGCTCTGCAGCTGCCTGCTAACACCCCAGAGGACTACAGAGCTGATTTTGGGTACCAGTGACCGCCGCCTGTGGATTCTTCCAAGGAGGGCTCCAGGCAGCCTGATTTGAGATTCCCTTTTCCAGCCCTCAGACTGTCATGAGTGCCTTCAGGATACAGAGGGTGGGTCAGATAGCATTTATCACCCACGCCAGAGCATTGTAGCCTCAGAGCACTGCAGAGTTCTGTGACTCTTGTGTTCTGTTTGGGGGAAGAGCTAGAGTTCTTTTCTTATTCCATTAGAATCTGAGGAACAAAAATTTATACATTATAACAGTATAGCAGTGCAACAGTATTTGAGGCTTTTAATGATTTCTACTTAGGTAACTTCTGTTATATCATGACCAAAAACAATGGTTCCCCTCAGGTGCTGTTTTGCTATTGATTTAAAGTTGTAATTATGAAGTAATTTGATGATGGGCAGCTCTGTGGATGTTTCAAGGTAGACACATGTTCTCACAGCCATACCCACCACTGAAGCACCAATAATCCTCCACCATAGTCTGTCGAGCTCCCTTCCCCTTTCAAGCTTTAAAATTAAATGTTTTGATTTTAGACTATCTCTGTTTGACAAAAGAAGGAAAAAGCCTTGACTTAGACATAACCAGCCAGCCTGGGGGAACAGAAGTGGAATGTCTGAGGCTCGATAGGTAGATGGGCAGCCCCAAGGGCTTGACAGCCAGGATACGGGCGAGTGCCACCCCGTGCAGGTTGTCCCCACTGGCCTGGAGTGTGGGGCGGTAGGAGAGGAGCTGGGGAGCAGGAGAAGAATCCAGCCGCGCACTCGGTAGAGACACAGGTGCCGGCCCAGTGCCTGCACCGGTGTGGACTCACCCCACGCCTGTGCTTCAGTTAGATTGACCCAGAGTTATTCCCAGTGGCTGCTTTGCTAAGATTTCGGTGACAAAGACAGCACTCTGAGGAACAGCTTTTATTCCCGTGATTCTCTTACCAGCCTCTGCCCTACCCGCTTCCCTGTTACCTCAGCAAAACAGACAGTGAATAGCCAGCCCTTGCCACTCAGCCTCCTGCCCAGCCTGACCCAGCCCCTTCAACCCATCCTTGTAGATTGTGGACATTGGCTTCCTCTTTTCAGCACTTAGTCTCCTTCGGCTGCTTCTGGCAAACCTTCAGAAGTAATATTAATAACCGCCACCTGCCGGACACAAAGTCTGCCGCAGGCCCAAAAAGCAATAAATCGGAAAAAGCTGGGATATGATAGATGAATGACAGACGCACACCCTCAGTGACCTGTGTCTTCTTTTTAGACGGGGGAATCCCTTACATTTGTGCAAAGAACGATTTAGGAAGATTCAGAAGCTCTGGCACCAGCACAGCATCACAGAGGAAATTGGACATGCACAGGAAGCAAATCAGACACTGGTTGGCATCGACTGGCAGCATTTGTAGCTACTTTCGCTACCAAAAACACACCTGGATTTTTGTAACCCAAGAAAGAGAGTAGGAAGTTCTACTGAGTTTGGAAGTAAATTCTTTATTGCCGCTTTTCTTCCCAGTTTTAGTTTTATAGTTTTGGCTCTGGAGACAGATGAAAATGGTCTTCCATCGGCACGTTTTCTTGCACCATTTGCTGTGTCCCTCAAACAACACTTGGAGTTTTTGGATCCAGCGAGAGCTGCTTTTCCTGAGCAGGACCCTGGGCCTTTGGGATCGTGTTGGACTAGCGCCCACAGGCCGAGCCAGGCTGCATCACTGCTCTCCCGCAGCCCGCGCTGAAACTGATGAGACAGAAAAGGAAGCCGGGTCTGTGGTGGCAGCGCCTGCCGGGGTGGCCCGGCGACCTGGCCGTACCTCTGCCGCGGGACCCTACCTCTGAGACAGCTGCGCGCCCCGGAAGCCGCCTTCCCTGGTTGCCTGTGTGAGGCCCTCTGCAGGCGAGGCCGAGGCGCCGTGGGAGGAAGCGGTGCAGGCGTCTTTGTATGCTGTTTGGTTTTCAGGGCCATACAAGGTTGGGTTTTTGGGATTTTTGGTTTATGTTTTTGTCCTTTTTTTTTTTTGGCAAAAACTTTGAACTTCAAAAGAAAAAAAACTTTTTAAAGGGCTTTTTGAAAACAGAGTACCCTAATTTTTCAAATGCTATAACCTCTTATTTCTAACACTAGAGAAGGTCTAATTGAGAGTCTGTACATCTAGAATTGAACAATAGCCAAAAAAAAAGAGAGAGAGAAATCAGTGTTTTGAGGTTCCCCCACTGCGCCCCTTCCAGCATTTCCTAGAGCGGATGAATTGCTCTTTACTGCTGACTCGCTTAGTACCTTACTGGGCCGATCCTGCTGCCAGGCTTTTTAGTATTTTTAAACATTATCACTTTTACTAAGAGGTGTCTTCCTAGAATGACAGCCCCTCAGTAAAACAGCTTGTAACGCCGCCCCCCACCCCACTCCCCTGCCAGCCCTGCGCAGAGCGCCAGAGACGGGCAGCGAGCAATGGCAGCGGTGAGGGCCCAGTGCTGAGCCTGTCGTGCTGGGGCAGAGGGACGAGTGCCTAAGAAGAGGCTCTAGAGATACTTTTACCCAGCGCGAGTGAACTTCTCACTCGCTTCTTTGAACTGTGTCTGCAAGCTCCTTCCACTCGGCCCGGTGAGTGCCAGTGTGGGGGGAAGGAGGAGCCGGCGACTCGCGTCCCCCGCGGCTGGGGGCAGAGCCTGCTCTCAGAGCACAGCCTCGCCCCTCCAGCCGGGGCTGGCTCGCCGGACTGAGGACAACAACTGCAAGAGACCCCAAGCCAGAGTCCAGCATCACCTGTCACCCCCCCTTTTCTGGCCTTTCTTCCATTCATTCAGTGAGGTGGTTTGGGGTGTGACTAGCATCATGAGTTTTAATGTTTATTTTGACCTTTGTCACACCCTCACGCCCGCTGCTTTTCTGTCCTGCTGCTTTTCTCACATGTCCATCAAGTTTAAAATTATAAGACCAGTTTTCTCCCTCTGTAAATGGATTATAAACATTAGAAATCCAGTAATACTCTAGCTTTCAGGCATCACTTCATAGAAGTCTGGAGTTAGCAGCAAGTGCCCTGATTCTGTGCTCGAACAGGAGGGAGTAAAGGAGGTGAATGTACATGAAATCGCAACACGCCCCGTCACCGTCGGCGGCGGGTGTCATCACGCTGGTCGTCTTCCCCGTTAATGAATCATACTAGTTTCATGATTTCTTCCGCATGTATTATGTTTATTGTAGAAATGTTTATATGACTTGCTTTCCATATCAGGGAGAATCATATCTGTTGAATAAATTGGCTATAACTTTAATAAATTGTGGACAACTTGTAAAATTTGGGATGTATCATATGTACAAAGTTTAAAGATATCCAAATAAATGCTCTAGGTGTTGACATGACTTTGTGTCTGTCTGAGTCTATGTTCCACATACATCTGTGTACACATCCAGACACCTTACTAAAAATAAAACGGGACATCTGTTTTAGCTTGAAATTTAAGCTGCTTATATCATTACTGTCAGGTACAAGCACTAGCCAAACACCCTGACCTTCCCTGGCTCATCATTTCTGCTGATTAAGCTTCCAGTCTAGGGGCTGTGACAGCTTGTGGCTTTTCTGAGTCTTTTCTTTTGTACCTCAAACCACTGGGAAAACAAGGCACTCAGCCTCTCCCTGGGTTAAGATTTCTTGTTCATCCTGACCTGGTGATCTGTTCTTACTCAATCCCAGACACTCTTGTGCTTGTGAGAGACGTGTAGGAAGGAAGCTATGTTCTGGTGTGCAGGGGAGCCATGGTCTACAAGAGCACTGCTGAACTCCAAATCTTACCGTGAAAGAACAAACTTTAAAAAATGCCAGGTTTGCACTGAGCTTCTCTGCCTCCTGGGTTAATGCTGCCTCTAATTACTCTCTCATTCTAGAGACCAGTTCCAGGACTCTGGAACTGTAGGTAAGATGGGTAAGAGAATTCACCAGAGACAGTGGGGAACAGAACAGGCTGGTTAACTGAAACACACTGCTGAGGGGAGCAATGGGCGAGACAGGAGAGGTCTGCTGTGCCATGTGGGTCACCCCCCGACCAGGGGTCAGACGTGCTGCAATGGCTTTGGATCACTTCATAGTGCTGAGACTTGCCCCTTGTACCACCTGGGAGGCCCAGTTCCTGGACTCTGAGTCCCTCTGATACACTCCTTACTCATTCTATTTTTTTTTTAAAGAGGTATTTATGCATACAGAACTGGGGTGCAGGCCACAGGTGCAGGGACAGGGAGAGGATTCACCAAAGACGGAGTGGGGAGCAGAGCAGGTGGATCGATGAAGTACACTGCTGAGGGGAGCAGCGGGCTTGTCAGGAGAGGTCTGCCAGCCATGTGGGTCACCTCCGGGGCGGGGATGGAACTTGTGCTGAAGCATCTGCAGCTACTTGCAGTGCTGCGCCCTGGCCTGTTGTGCCACCAGGGAGGGCCCACTGAAACTGTTTTACAATTCTTCCCTGTCAGTACAGTTTTATGCATTTTGACAACTGCGTACATTTAACAACCTCCACACTCGAGCAGACAGTTTCTCCATCCCAAGGCATTCCCTCCTGCACCTTGGGGTCATCTCTTCCCCGCTCCCCTCGGCACCACTAATCATTTTTTTTGCCCCTTTGCTTTTGCCTCTATTCATACAGTTTTTGCAGATGTTCATATAGGTTTGTCCTAAATCATGGAGCCCTGGAGTCGAGCCATTGACGGGAGACTGGTGTTTGAGGGTCATTGTGACCCTCTTCGTGGCTGAATGATCCATCGTGCAGATGTTCATGCAGTCGCAGCAGAAGGGCGTTTGGGTGTTTTGGAGTGACTGAGCGAGGCCCTACAAACAAACGTGAGTGCAGGGCCTGTAGGCCTGCGTGTGCATCCTCCGGGTAAGTGGCTTGCTGTCCCTGTGTCCCTCCACCACAGAGTGCAGCCTCCCCTCATCTCTGATTTCAGTTTCTGCTCATCCTCAGTTTTGGAGGCCAGGATATCAGGCCATCAAGAGTGAAGGACTTGGCACAGGGGTTAAAATGTCAGCACTATCAAGCTCTCCACGGCCACTGCAGCATGAGCTCAATCCCTGGACAGGGAGCTGACCCACGTGGTGCAGCAGACCTCTCCTGACACCCGCTGCTCCTCTCAGCAGTATGTTTCAGTCAATCAGCCTGTTCTGCTTCCCACTCTGTCTCTGGTGAATCTTCTCACTCCCTGCACTTCTACACCCCAGTTCTTGTGTGCATAAATAATTTTTTTTTAAAGTGAAGGATTAGCCCTCCCTGATGGTACAATGGGCTAAAGCACAGCACTAAGAAGCTAAAGCCACTTCAGCATGATTCCCGCCCTGGAGCTGACCCACACACAAGGCACGGTAGACCTCACCTGACCGCCTGTTGCTCCCCTCAGCAGTGGACTTTATTGATCTGCCTGTTCTGCTCTCCACAGTCTCTGGTGAATCCTCTCACCGCCCCTGCACCTCTGGCCTGTACCCCAGTTCTGTATGCATAAATAACCTTTTTTTTAAAAAGGTGAAGGACTGGTGTATCCAAGCCAATCTCCTTGCCCCTGTGGCCTGGGAAGAGCCTTCTCCCTGGGCTCCCTGAGTGTATCCCACAATCCTGCTTCTCACACAAGGTGCTGTGATCTGGCTTCCCTGTCTCTACCAACAGGGAAGAGGCCAGGATTGTCTCAGTGCATCCTGCCCCTGGCTAAGCTGTGAACCTGCTGACTAGCACCACACAGGAGGGGCAGGGGAGCAGGCAGAGCAAGCTCTTAATCTTATTAATTTGTATTGAGGCTACTCAGGGTTTATTGCTGGTGCCCTAAACATTCAGAATAAGTAACTATTTTTACCGCTTCTGTACAGTGGAGTTAGTGTTTTAAAAAATAAAAGCCCTGGGCCCTCCCCGGTGGCATAAAAGGTTAAAGTGCAGCACTCTGAAGCTATCAGCAGCCATGGCACAAACTGGATCCCCAGCCAGGGAGCTGACCCACATGGCATGGCAGACCTCTCTTTTGTCTCGCCCACAGCTCCCCTCAGCAGTATATTTCACTAGTTCTGCCTGTTCGGCTCCTTGCTCTGTCTTTGGTGAATCTTATCATTGCCCCCACACCTCTGGCCAGTACCCCAGTTCTTGTATGCATAGATAAATAAATCTTTAAAAAAGGTTAAGTCCTGTATGTCTGTTTCACCCCATCCCAGCTGGCAGGTCTTTAAAAAAAAATCTATCTGAGCCACTTGGGAGAAATCTAATTTATAGTCACCCAAGGAAAGAGTGAGATTAGACATGGAAAAGAATCTGGTGCTGGAGTTTTGCCTGCCACAGGTAAGTGACTAAAAGTCATGAGCCAGAAGTTTCTCTGGCCCCACCCAGCTGTTAAGAGAAATTGAGAAGCTTCTGTTGAGCCTGAGAAGATCTGTTAAAAATCAGCTCACCCTTGGGCCCTCCCTGGTGGCACAGTGGGTTAAAGCACAGCACTAAGAAGCTAAAGTCACTTGCACGTGAGTTCAATCCCCACCTGCCTGGGAGCTGACCCACATAGCACAACAGACCTCTCCTGACCCGCCTGCTGCTCCCCTCAGCAGTGTACTTCATTGATCTGCCTGTTCTGCTCCCCACTCTGTCTCTGGTGAATCCTCTCACCACCCTTCCACCTCTGGCCTGTACCCCAGTTCTCTATGCACAAATAAATCTTGAAAAAAAAATCAGTTCACTGAGGCCCTCCCTGGTGGTGCAAGAAGGAGCACTAGGAAGCAGCACTACAAAGCCAGCCAAAGCAGTCTCAGCGTGAGTCCATCCTTGGCCAGGGGTGATCCCCATGGCGCAGCAGACTTTTGTCTCGGCCACTGCTCCCCTCAGCAGTGTACTTCATTACTCTGCCTGCTCTGCTCCCCATCCTGTCTCTATTGTGAACCCTCTCACCTGCACCTCTGGCCTGTATGCATAAGTAAATCTTTAAAAAGAATCAGCTCACCCTGCATCAACTCTGAACCAGCCATTGATCTTACTGTAGGGTCAGTTTGCACTTCCTCCTCCCGCAGTGCCCAGCTGCTTACACCTACCCTAACACCTAATGCCCGGGCCCATGAAGACGGTTTCCTTGTTTGGGGAAGTACGTTTGGAGAGCAGAAGGATAAAAATAATGATACATACTTCAATCACTAAATTTCGATTCCACATTAAATTCAGATCTGGTCCAAACTCTAGCCATTGTGGAGGTCATTTGGACAACCTAGCGGTCTTTGGTATTGCACATGGACATAGCAAAGGAAAAGGGTGACAGCCAGCCTGTGAAACAGTGAGCCCTCTCATTAACAGTGCTTCCAAGGCAGCTTCAACCAGCCGGGCAAAGGGAAGCTGTATATGTTGAGGACACATTCTGCAGACTGTCTGCTACAGGATCAAAATCATGGCAGGTGCAGAAACCGATACCCAGTTCCAGCTCACCGGAATTAGGAAATAGTTCAACCCCAGGGTGGAATGAGCTGTGGGCTGGCCACGTGTGGAAGAATTGCTTTGCTGGTCTTTTGCTTCAAGTTAAGATCTAAGAAATACAAAAACCCAGCTATGAAAGCAACATAAAGGGATTCTAAACTGCACAGCATCGGTTCCCACGCCTGGAGAAGCTAATAGCAAAGCATCAGGTGATCATTTGCACAACAAATCGCGAGCCTGGAAAACAGTGCTTCCTATTAGTGAAGGTTATGTCCTGTTTTGTTTAACAAATAACTAGGTGAAGTTGGGAATTCTGTGATGCATAATGAATGGGCCGAGATAGTCATTTATCAGTAGTGATTTTTGTACAATATAGCTTTTATTGTCTACTGTACAGCTGTTAACAGCACAGTTACACGTCAGGTTTAGAGCAGCATCCACACGGCCCCGGTGCTGCTGGGAGCAGGAGCTTCGCGTGGCCAGAGGGGCTGACTCCTCCACGTTTTCAGTGGGGCTCATACCTTGGTCTCAAGGAAACTCTGATACCTACTTAAACCCGTGACCAAAGCCGGACAGCATCCAAACGTCTTTGTCCTGAAACCAGGGAGAATTATGCCCCCAACCATACCCCAGCCAGCCCCAAAATTCTTATTTTCTCCACACTGAAAACGCAGAACACAATGAAGTTATCCTCTTCTGCCCCTGCAGCTTCCTCTCCCTCTTTCTCTTTTTCCTGAGGGAAGGAGTGAAAACTTCTCTCGCAGTTGCTAGCTCAGGAAGATGGTCTGTCTCAAAGACTCTTCTTTACCCAGAGGTGTTCTGGAAATACTGCCTGTAGAATGGATCTCTGGAGAAAGAGACAGGATGAAGTCCACAGAGGACTTTGGCCCTCCAGCACAGACAGTTCATGTAGGTCAAGGAAGCTGTCGTGACTCCCTGTGTGGGTGTCCCTGGACCCACCAAGAGATGAGGGTTGGTCTTCAAGGAGTGCTCTCTTGTCTGACTCTTGCTCTTCTACAGATCCAACCCATGCTTCCAGGGACAAGCCAAAGGAGGTCAGCCTGTGACTCACTCCTGGATAGTGATAGGGCATGTGAGCACAACATGACAGATTTAGGCCTTTAGCTGTGGTTGTGAAGAGCAATAAGTTCTCCTGACATGACGAAGTTCTCAGTACTTTGGAGAGTCCATTACTCTTCGAAATTGTCCCCACCTTCTGCCATTAAATAAATATAACTGACCTGACGATCTTGGCATTAAAAAAAAAAAATGACATGGCCAGTACATTTTTCAGGATCTGTACTCACACAGCAAGTAAAGTGTTGGACAGAAAAAGAAGCAGTTTGGAGCACCTAACAGCCTGTAAGTGAGGGAAAGCCCTCGGTGAGTCTGGGAGATAAGGGTGGAACTGAATGTGGGTGCTGTGAGAGAAACAGGTCTTGTGTGCAGTCATCCTCCGAGTCTACCACGACGGCATGTCCTAGGGCAGTGGGCCTGAACGGAGCTCAGTTGTCCATATTTTGAGTCCAACATGCAACAAGTTTGCCAACTGCTTGAAGGGACCCTTAGCCACCAAGAAGAGTCTGTGCAACTCTCCCTGGTGGCACAACGTGCAAAGAACAGCATTACGAAGCTGGCCACAGTGGCTTCAGCATGAGTTCAATCCCAGGCCCTGGAGGTGACCCACATGGCGCGGCAGACCTCTCCTGACCCGCCCGCTGCTCCCCTCAGCAGTGTACTTCATCTATCTGCCTGTTCTGCTCCCTGCTCTGTGTGTGGTGAATCCTCTCATGGCCCGCCCCTGCCTCTCTGGCCTGTACTCCAGTTCTGTATACATAAATAAATATTAAAAAAAAAAAAAAAAGAGTCTGTGAAGTGGCTGCCCTCCAAGGGAGATTCCAACTGGATGGGGATCCACATGTCTTGGCGTTCACTAATTCTCTGTGTCCAGGAGGGAAGGGGCCGTCAACCAGCCTCTGGGATCTGGCCTGCATCTGCGCCCTCGGCTTCCACCTGGTTAGCCTTGCCCAGCTTTTTCAAGCTCTCCAGGAAGGCCTTCCAGGTCTCCAGCACACTCTTCTCCAGCAGCCAGCCCTCACTCTCACATTCTGGGTCTTCGGGGTCAGACAGACCTTCCAGCGCCGTGTGCAGGTAGCGCAGCCCGATCGTGATGGTCACCTGTAAGGAGAGAGGAGACCAGGTATCTGGCTATTTGGCTGCAGTCCCCTTTGAATGAGGCAGGCTCTACTGAGTCTGGGTTAGTGGGGGCCCGCCTACCCACTCCTGCCTTTTCTCCAGCCTCATCTTGGGTCCTCCTTCCTTTCCAGTCACCCTAGGCTACCTTGGGCCCCACCTACCCACCCCAGCCTTTCCACACTCCAATCTTTAATTTGCTTTTTGTTCTCTGCTTTGTTCCTCTCCACACCCCCCTGTCCTGGATGCTTTCCTGTGCCCTGCCCCTAGCTTGTTGGTGGGCATATGCTGGATGTTCAGTAACTATCTGTGGATGGAACTAAAAAGTCACCTTTTCTGCAAACTACATTATAGGTGGTTTCCTTTTACTTCTGTTATTTTGGGTAGTGGGGAATGGATGTTAGTAATGGATCATTCAGGCTTGATCACTGGCAGTCATTGAAGCAGACTCAGGTCACAATGCCTCATTCCAAACCCCGGCCCTGGCATGTGACTAGGAAGCCTCAGTTTACTCATCTAGTTTTTGGATTTTCTGATAAAACATTAGCATGTGTAGAGCCTGTAGCCTGGTGCACAGTAAGGGTGAATGAGATGTGCCAACTGTAGTTGGTTATTAGTCAGCTTGGTGAGTATTGTTTTTGCTTGTCTTGTATTCTGCTAGCCACTTGTTTCTATACAAATCTCTAGTAGTCTCTTATACTTCTCCTTTTATGGTATGCCAAACTGTGAGAGGAACAGAACTACTAATATGGAAAGTAAGACAGAATTGGCCCTGATCCATCTTGTTTATCAAACACCCCCTAGAACACCACTCAGTGGTGTGCCTCAGTAAACCTCTACTAAACAAATGCCCTGGGAGCATTTTATAATGATGATAGTAGATGATAATAGCAACTGATAGAGTTTTGGGGTTTTGCTATTATCAACTGAAAAGTCAATAATTTTTTTTTGTAAGGTCAATATTTTTAATAGTGAAAAAACTTGCCTCCTCCAGGAAGTCCTCCTTGTGTGCATTAACACAATCCGTTCCTTCTGCTTTCCTGAAGGAGCATTGTGCGCTATGAACTTTACATTTGTAACAGTTCTTTAACAAGTGTGAGAGTGATTGTACTAAGACAGGCTTCGCTCCTCATCTTATGCTGTCACTAAGTTTCTGGAAAAAATGGGTAAATTATGAGGCAGTTAATAGAACCCCATTTTCCCACTGGCTTCGGTTATCCTTTCAATCTTCTTTTCAGAATTCACCAGGAGACATAATCTTCCCAACTTACAGCAGTAAGCTGCTCTCCTCATTCTACCTACTCATTCCTAATACTGGCTCTGAAGGAGCCAATGAGCAATAAATCTTCATGGATATTATTGCATTTTCATGGTCGCAATATTAAAATTATCCTGGCATCTCTTCTGTCCACCTGTGGCTATGTAGGTTCCTCTTTTCTTTCTCCTTTTCCTAATAAATTTGTCCTTTTAAAATAAAAAAATAAGTAGCTCACCCAGATCTCATGCTGTACAGTCCCTGTGTGATGTGGTGAGTTAAAAGTGGTATATCTCAGTCAAAGGCACAGCTGCATATGTGTTTCCATAGCACTAGGAGAGTGACTTATTTAAAGGACATTTAGTGAATCTTCTCTAATGGAAGAAATACCCCCACCTCAATCTCTCATTTTGTACATTTGGACTTCATGTTGTCAATTCATAGCAAGAATCCCTGAATTATCCTCTGTGCCACCTTAGTTCACCACATGCACAGGGGTTCATTCAGCACCTAGGACAGCTCCCAGTACCTGGCTGGCCTATAAGAGCTCTCTTCTCTAATGAATGAATTCAGCTTATTCACTACGTATCTGCTACATCCAAACCCTGTAACTACAGAGAAGAATTAGCCTTACAGATGAAATAAAATGAGCCCACAAATAACTAGAATAATAAGTAAATGATGATCCAACTTAAGAGAAGCACAAATCCAAGTAGCTCCCATTTACTGAGCGTCCCAATATACTTATTATGTCCTATTGCCTCCCAATAATCCCAAAGCTAACTGCTAATATTCCCCTCCTCCCATATAACAGTGAGATTAAATAACTTTCCAGCACCTCAGACTCAAGTGGGGACAAAGGATGGACTTCTAAAACATGCTAAGTGAAAGAAGTCACACATATATTACATGACTCCATTTATATAAAGAATTCAAAATAGAGAACTCCACAAGGACAGAACACATATTGATGACTTGACTGTGTAATGGGTGTGAGATTTCTTTGGGCTGATGTAAATCTATTAGAAGTAGGTACAGATGATGACTGCACAGCAGTGTGACTACTGAGTACTACTTTTAAATGGTTGATATTATGCTCAGTGGATTTCTACTTTTTAATAAATAACTCTACTTTTTAATTAATAGGACAGAAACCAAAACAGGTGGATGTGCTGAGATTCAGTGGAGGCCTATCTGGCCACCAGCAGCCAAGGTTTGTTCTTAAGGAGGAGACAGAGGCTTTGCTCCAGGCCTGACTCCACCCCCTACATCCAGTGGGACAGGTGACCCCCCCTCTTCCCCTGTCTTCACTATCCAGAACCCACCTCAAAGAGCCAGATGAGGAGCGTGACAGCACCCATGAAGTTCATGAGGCTGCTGTAGTAGCTGAGCAGTGCGGCCCTGCAGCCGACCACCCACAGGTTGAGCTCCTCTGACTGGTGGTCGTAGCTGTAGTGCGCTGAGTTGTTTGTGAGCTGGTACTGGATGCAGGGCCGTGGTGAGCTGGGGTTGCAGCAGCTGAAGGGGACACCATCTACCAGGTACCGCCCATCCACATTGCTCTTGATGCGACTGGAGGAGAAACATAGCTTGAGACATGACCCTAAGACTTCCCATCAGTGCCGGTCCCTCACACCCCCACCTCCATCTCTGAACATTCAGCTAGACTTTCCCTTCACTCTTCCACTCCCTCACTGGACACATGTTTGCTGTGCACTTAATATGTGAAGGCCACTGTTGCACGTGATGAAGATGAAAACATGACCTCAGAGAGAAATGCCTTCCTGGAGAAATGCCTCCCCTGCCTTCCTGGAGCTTATGTTCTAAGGATTGAGATGGATGATAAACCAAGAAGCAAGTAACAGGGCATATAGAGATTTATCTGACTGCCAGCCCAGATGTGTGCTGCCAGGCCCTAGCAGGCAATGATTTCCTAGAACTATGCCAGGGTCTAGGAAGAGAAGCAGGACAGACATCAGATTCAGATTTTAACCCACACTCCCTCCACCTTCATCTCCCACTGTGGTGTGATCAGTTCTGCTGAGTAAATGTTTCCGAAAGTCCTGCTCTGGCCCAGTAGAGACAAGGGAAGAGACTCCAAGCTAATCCAGCCCTCCCTGTCAGAGTGAACTCTGCCCCTTCCTCACCCAGATAATGGAGACAGCACCCTCATCCCTCCAGGGACCCACCGCGCCTCAGTGGAACGTTTGCATTTCTACGTTTATGTATATATTGCTTCAAGTTCACCATACATTTCCATGGGTTCAGAATCCGGAAAAGACAGGCATCTTTACATTCTAAACCTCTCCTGTTCCTGCCAGACAGGTGTTGGTGTGGTTACCCAGGTATCTTTGTGTCAAAGTTCATAGAGCTGCAAGATCTGCACCCTTCAAGCTATCCTGAGGATAAAGGTGTCCTTTAAGTGGCCCACAAACAGTGAATGATCTAATAGCAGAAGACGTTTACCAGGCAAAAATAGAAAGCATGTAATCGTTTAAAATTGTTTCCAACAGTGTTCATTGAAATGGTAATTATACTCTAATAAAAGATGACCATGTCTAACTGGATTA